GCAATGACCACCTTGAACTCGAGGGATCCAGGACAAGAAAAGGTGAAAGAGGAGGCAAAGGAAGGCGTACCTAGTTAGGAAAGAGCAACAACCTAGAGCGAAATTGAAGGAAGAAGACAACGCGAGTCTTCAAACCGAACCTAGGAAACTCGATCTTGAGTAAAGAATTAGAGAACTTCAAATCAAAAAACCAAGAGACCGCGAGAGAGACAACGAAGAAACCAAACAGTGGAAAAGGGCGGTTCTGAGAGAGCATTTAAAGCTTGAGGGACGTGGGCTGAAGCGTGTGCGGGAACCAAGGAGGCCATGATTGCTGAAAACCGTCAAAAGGGCTTCCATCACGTGCAAGCCAAGGACAGCCACGTGCAAGCCCAGCTTGGTTTAAAAACAGCCCAACCCCTTCCCAAGCTCGCTTGAACCAGGGGCTGGGGGGCAACTGATGATACCTCGAATAAGCCATAAGAGCAAGCTCGAGAAACAAGGTTAGGTCAGGGGGTCTGATATAATACTAGGAGCTCATAAGTCCGGGGCCAAAGCTCCCCTTAGAGAGATAATAGCGGGACAGACCAGAGAACAGCTGGATAACTGAAAAAACAGGGTTCAGGGCATGAAACTTTCAACCAACCGAGATTCTCTCCTAAAATCAAGAAGAATCCCACTAATGGCTGGCAGAGATCTCGGCTGAGATCCGACAGAATGGGGAATAGTTCTATAAATACTATGTAATGCCTCCATAGATGTGGGCAGAGAAAAAAACAAACCCTAATTTCGAGATATACCGAATTGTAACACATTAGAGTGGTGAATAAAAAAGAGAGAGCAAGAGCCTCCATTGAAGAAGTGGACTACCCGATTTCCTAAGCCGGTGAACCACTATATCTTCACTGTGTGCACCCCTCAAATTCCCTCAGCATTACACTCCAGCATCACACACGAGCCTTATAGCTCTGATCTACGATCATCACATGGCACCTGCATTTTCTGCTCACCCACATTGATTCACACCATCAGATACCATGTTGAATACTAAGCTTAACCTATCAGAGAGTGGAGTATAACATATATATTTATCTAATACGATGCATTAGACATGGATGATTATTACACTGCCCATAACGTCTAGATAATGATGGAGAGTAACATTACTAATGTACTAAGTCCATCCAATCTAAAGTCACTGTAATGTATATGCATAAAAAATGCACACAATCTAACATTACTCCCGTAAGTTATAAGATATTTCTAGTTAGGGGCGTTCAAATTTCTGATTACTCGCAATTTTTTATTCCGGCCGACCCTGTTGAACGATTAGTCTAAAAAATCAGATAGGAATGCAAAAGAGTTTGGTCTGAAGTACCCAACAGATATGGGATTTGCGACCTTTGGGACAAGAACAACAATTGTTGTGTTGAATTCCTTGAGGGGCCTGCCAGAGGAGAAGAATTCTATTATAACCCTTGTGATATCTTGACCTATGACAGACCAAGCTTTCTTGTCGAAACACTCATTGAAGCCATCGGGACCTGGAGCTCTGTTATCATTGAAAGAAAAGAAAACATCTTTAACTTCAATAGGAGTGATATCTCTCGATAGAAAAAGAGCTTGCCTGGTTGAAATCTTGTTACGAATAAACCTGCTCAACAAGACCTTATTGTCAAAAGAATCCATAGTTGGGAAAGAACCCCCAAGAAGTTGAGTGTAGTAATCAACGACTTCCTTCTTCACCTCAGATTCATTACAAGCAAGAGACCTATCAGCTCTTCTTAGAGACATGATCTTTTTCCTGTTTCTTCTATTGGTAAGTGACTTGAAAAAATAGGCAATGCTATTATCCCCCTCTTGTAACCACTTGACTCTAGATTTTTGTCTATAGAAGCTTTCCTCTTCTCTGGCAGCTTTAGTGAACTTGAACATATGGACTTCCTCCTGCTTTTTAAGTGTGGTGTTGAGAGGGTCAAGAACAAACTGGTTTTGATAATTAACAATTTCCTCTTTGGCCTCATTAGTAACTCTGAGCTTCTTTAGTTTGGTGCACAGTTGGTATTGTAGAGTAACATGGACCTCCTCCCTCCAAACTTGTGCAATAATGTGAAGAAAGTTCTCCCTTTCAGCCCAAAAATTGAATAATTTGAATGGGTATCTGCCTTTCACTTTATGGGGGCCAATCCTCACTAAAATTGGGTTGTGATCAAAAATTCTAGGAGGCAAAAACACAGCTTCTAAAACTTGAAATTCTTAGAGCCAGTATTCATTGACAAGAGCTCTATCCAGTTTCCTCCAAACAATGCCACAGTCACGTCTATTGTTGCACCAGGTGAGAAAATGCCCAGAATATCTTAGGTCTTCAAGAGTAGCACTTTGCAAGCATTCATCAAAATCCTCCATGGCAATTGTTCTTCTCCTAGAACACCCTACAAATTCATGAACTCCTCTAACAACATTAAAGTCTCCCAACACAAGCCAAGGAATAGGTGCAATAGTGAGAACAAAATACTTGAGGTTACCCAAAAGTCTCTTTCTTTCCTGGTCATCATTGGCCCCATACACAAAAGCCACATAGAAATCAAAAATACCATCAATGGACTGTACATTGCATAAAATAAGTTGATCAATTTCGGAAATTTTATTCACCTTCAAACCATTTGGGTACCTCCCAACCCAAATTCTACCAAAATGGTAACTATTATAGTTGGAGGTTGAATTCCACTGCCTAAAAACATTTCTCCAAACAAAATCCTTATTTACAGGTTTCACTTTTGTTTCCAAAATGCTAATTATATTAAGTTGTTGATTGACAATGATTTTTCTTATTTCTTGTTGTTTAATGGGGTCATTCAAGCCCCTAATGTTCCAAAAAGCGATGTCCAACATGGAGACTTAGAGGTGGAGGGGCAAATTGTCAAGAGAAATATTTTAACTTTCACTTTTATTTTTTACCCGAGAAAGAGGGAGTGTGGGGCACAATTTTTGCTTTTGTTTCTATTTTTTACTGGAGAGGGAGAGAGAGAGAGAGAGAGAGAGGGATGAATGTGTGGGATAAATATGAGTTGACTTTTGAGTAAATACTTTTTTGTATTTTCTCTTTTTTTTAAGCTTTTGATTGTTTGATTTTTAATGTTATAGGTTAGATCATAGGTCCAAACTATTGAAATTAAAATTTGTGATTGTTAAATTTTTTGGGACCTCTCGGTGGGGCTTAAAATTTCATAGATTGTGGGGCCTAGAGCCTAGAATTTAGCAGCCATAAGGTTGGGCCGGTCCTACCCGTCAATTCTTTTTTTTTTTTTTTATCAAAGGTGCAACAGGAAGACTTTTCAAGAATGTGTTCATTAAAGTCATAACTTTGTGTAATAACTATTGGAAGCTTACTGGGCACAAAGTTATGAGAAGTCTTAGTTGATTTCTTTGGTCAGGGATTCTTTTTTTTAAATAATAAGAAACCTCTCCAAAACAAGATCACATTAGACCAACATTTGCAGAGTAAACTCGGTACCTGTAATTATCCTCTAATCACAATTACTTACTAAAAATTTGAGACACCCAAATTTCAATGTAATTACCTGCTAATCACACTTTGTGTACATTTAGAGATTTTGCCTCGAAACCCAAACGCCAAATCCATCTTTTTCGATGCTGCACTTTGGATATAATTTACTAAAAAGTATTTTTATCAAATGAGTTGACAATTATTCTATAAAAAGTATTTTGTGGGACCAAGAGTGATATAGAACTGCCACCTCTTTTTTTAAAAGTACTTTTGGTATTTTTTTTGGTATGCACAATATTTTTTGGTATTTTTATTTTTAAAATCACATTATTCCTGTTTATTTTTTATTGAAAAATATATTTCATATGTCCAACCTTATTTCCTTAATTACAGTAAGAAAAATGATCACATACCCACACATCCCTTCTCTCTAGGAGAACCAACTCTATAAAGAACCTACTTCAACTATGTTCACTAACATTATCAGTTCCCTCCCTCGAATGTCATCACCATGGATAGACCACCCAGGTTCGGGTCCATAAGCAATGAAAATTGCGCTATGAAGACTCCCTTTCGGTAAGACAAACAAAAATATTCGATTATTGGGAGGAAAATCAATACCTATTGTTGAATCAAGATCAACTGGGACAGAAATAAATCATTGGGTCCAATTCTTTTTTGGTGTTAAAGTAATAGCTGTGAATAGTCATCAACTTGCAAGAAAGGGTAGAAGAACGAGACCTATGATGGGACATACACTGTGTTGAATATCATCTCATCTAAAAACTTAAAATTTTAAGGAGTGTAACATATGTATTTATCTAATACTCCCCATTACATGCTACCCCTTTTTGGGTGATCCATTCACATGATTGTTTTTTTTTTCAGGAAAAAGGTCTGGTAGGATTCGAAATCAGAATCTCTAAACTCTGGGAACCATGTTGAACAGAGAGTGGAGTATAACATATATATTTATCTAATACAATGCATTAGACATGGATGATTATTATACTCCCGTAACGTCTAGATAACGATGGAGAGTAACATTACTAATGTACTAAGTCCATCCAATCTAAAGTCACTGTAATGTATATGCATAAAGAATGCACACAAGAACATAGTTATAAGATATTTCTAGATTCCTAGTTGCCTAACTGACAATAATGTGTAACAGATTACTAGATTGTCTAAAACATGCTACAGAGCAAAGTGTACAAAATGGGAACTGGCTGCTTACTGTACACATGGCCTGGGTATACATAGGCGGCTAAGAAGATTGATTACATAAGGAAGTCGTAGTTTAGGACTTTTCAAAGGTGTGGTGGAAAAAGTCCAAAACCAAGTTTACTGGTGTTCATTCTGGAGCTGTTTGAAAAGTTGTTTGTTTCTCTAGTTTCCATGGAGTGATTGACTCGGCAGAAGTATTGTGGACCCACCAAATACTTCAATTTCTCAACCACAACTCTCTCTCTCTCTCTCTCTATAAAAGGGCATCTTTTTAGTGTAGAATGTTAAGAAGTCCCTTGTGGTGTTGATAATCACCTTTCTCCCCTTTGGTTCCCCCATGGCTTGTAAAAGACCTTCCATTGCTGCTACATTGCTTCTACTTGGGCTGCTAGTAATGGCTAGCCTAGACTTAACAGGTCTCTCTCTCTCTCGCCACACCCCACATAGTATAACTTGTAGTATAGGCACTTAAAAAATTAGGACTCTAGTGGAAAAATGTCATATGACTTTCAATTCTGCTTTTTAAATCTTTCATTTTTTTCTTATTTGTTTGGGGTTCGAATTACTAACTTTATTAATTCAACTCTACGACTCTTGCCTAATTGGCCACATCTAATACTCCCAACTAGGAGATCGGGGAGTCAATTTTTGCCAAAAATAAGTATTGATCTCTTATGTCCTCCCGCTTGGAGATCAGAGATTTGTATTAGCCTCCCGCTTGTCTCATAATCCTAACACACTCTATTGAGATTCATGTAGCTGCAGGTTTTTAGTTATAATACCAATTGAGCCACTACTTGGGCTCCCTCAACATTTTTTTTAATAACGGGAAATTATTCCAACCCCCTGCAGCCCAACTCTTTATGTATACACAAACACTAAACCCTAAGCAATTTAATGAAAAAGAATTCTTATGTATGCTAAGTTTATGATCAATCTAATGCAGGTGCCCAAATAGGTGTTTGTTATGGAAGGATTGGCAATGGACTACCCCCTCCATCGGAAGTTGTGGCTTTGTACAACCAGAATAGTATTCGGCGAATGCGACTCTACGATCCATACCAACCAGCCCTCCAAGCCCTCAGAGGCTCCAACATTGAGCTCATCCTTGGTGTCCCAAACACTGACCTCCAAAATCTAGCTTCAAACCAAGCTAATGCAAACACATGGGTTCAAAACAATGTAAGAAACTACCCCAATGTCAATTTCAAGTACATTGCTGTTGGCAATGAAGTCAGTCCAGTGAAAGGTGACACATCTCAATTTGTACCCTTTCTCCTCCCTGCCATAAGAAACATTAACACTGCAATTTCTTCAGCCGGCCTGGGGAACAAAATCAAAGTCTCCACTGCTATTGAAACCGGAGTCCTCGGACAATCCTATCCTCCATCAAGCGGTTCTTTCAGGCCCGACGTTCGGTCGTTTCTCGATCCAATAATCGGGTTCTTAGTGACCAACCGTGCCCCGTTACTTGTCAATGTGTACCCATATTTTAGTCGTATAGGTGACCCCAAAAATGTTGGTCTTGATTATGCTCTTTTTAGATCCCCTGGAGTTGTAGCGCCTGGAGGATACCAAAATCTTTTTGATGCTCTGTTAGATGCTATGTACTTTGCACTCGAAAAGGCCGGTGGCTCGTCGTTGGAGATCGTTGTGTCGGAGAGTGGTTGGCCTTCGGCTGGTGGGGCTGACACGTCTATTGATAATGCAAGGACCTATAACACAAATTTGGTTCGACATGTGAAAGGAGGGAGTCCTAAAAGGCCTGGTAAGCCAATAGAGACTTACATTTTTGCTATGTTTGATGAAGATCAGAAGAACCCAGAGTTTGAGAAGCATTTTGGGCTCTTTTTACCAAATAAACAACCAAAATACCCAATCAGTTTCACTTAGGAGTGAACAAAACTAAGTGTACCAAGAGAATAAGGACAGTGTCCCTATGATATGCTATACTAAATAAGGGTTGTTTGTAGTGCAACATGCCTCCCAAAGGCCAGGTCTGTATGTACCCGTCAAAAGTTGCAAAGGACAGGCTTATATAAATCTCTTATCTCCTCTTATATGGATGTGTTTATCTCCTCCTATATTGATGTGTGAATGTCTTTCATTTATCAAGTGCATAATATTCTCATTTGAGGGATTAAAATGACAAAACTGAAAGAAACGAGATTAAATTGACACAAAACTCATAAAAATAATAATAACACGAACTTTTCAGTATTACTTAGCGTCTCACAATTTTCGACTTCTCTACCAGGACACTTCCTGCCATAATGAAAACCATGAAAGAAAGAGCAATTATATCTAAAGCATCTAGCAATAAATGTAGCCACATAATGTCGCTATAAAAAAAATTGTTTCATCTGCTCACATAATTCAAGTAATAGACAAAGTTTTCATCTTATTTTTTGTAAAAGTCTTTATGGTACCAGAGTCAGACCCAACTTAAGTTGTATGGGTTGAACTTATTATTATTTTTTCTATCCCTTTACGAACCACTAAACCCTCTTCAAACTGTATAAATGGTTAACGAGGGATGACTCAAGACAATTTTAGATCTAAAATAAAAATATTAAATGAGATTTTTTTATTTTTTAATATTAATTTTTTTAAAAAAATAATTTTTTTTAAATTTATTATCTGAGAGAGAGACAGAAGAATGACGTGCCAGTGTTGTTGAGAGAAATATTTTACCTTTTGTTTTTATTTTTTTCCGGAGAGAGGGTTTTATTTTAACTTTTTTTTTATGTTTTGAACTTATTTTTAGAGAGATAGAGAGAAGTTGACTTTTAATTACTTTTTATTTTTACAATTTATGATTTTTAGGTTTTTAATGTTATGAATTGGATCATGAACCCAAATTATTATAAAAATTTTGATTGTACATAATTTTCTGGGGACTTTTTTTTAGGGTTCAAAATGTAATAAATTTAATTTTTTTTTGGATTAATAATGTACTTAAAATTATGGGATTTTCTAAAAAATTTAGGCTTAAAAGCCCAAGTTTTTTTTTTAATACTGTTGAGCCGTACCTGTGGCTAACCAAATTACTCAATACCCTTAACCCGTCTACCTTGAATGTTGGAATTTTTGTGTCCATCAAACTCACTGAAAAACATTCTGTTGTGTAGAACCCAAATGCTAGGTTTGATTGAAAGCCAACATGTCACATGATTTATTAATGGAGATGTTTCACCACCGCTAGAGTTAGTGCTTGCTTCTGATTCAACAACAGATAAAAAAAAAAGGTTGTTAATCTAGAATTCGTCTCTTGGAGACGTTCAAATCGTTTGCTACAAGGATGGATAACTGGTACATTGACTGAAGATACCATAAGTCTTATGGTAGGACTTGGGACTTCAAAAGAGGTATGAAATGTTTTACATAAATCTTTTACCCAAGACTCTCAAGAGAGAGAATATCATCATATTAAACAACTATCTATTTTAAAAGCTTAAATTGTTAGAAATGGTGAAACTTAAGTATTTATACTTTAACGCATCTCGCTCAGGAATTACAAATGATTAGGAAGGGCACATCTACCATGACCGAATATCTTAGAGATTTCAAAATTTTTTTTGATGACTTTGTTGCTATAGGCAAGCCCATAGAAGACAAAAAGAAAGTACGTTGGCTATGATATACAAAATAGATTTATGCACAATCAACAGTCAAGTGTATGATGCAGAATAATTAATAAAACAATCAATAAGGCAATTAATGAAAGTAATAGAGGCTGAGTCAACACAAATGTATAATGGTTTAGTCAAGATGACCTACTCTATTTCGAAGGCAGTTATGGTGGCCGGAGATCTTTATTTATAAATTAGATGGTAGAGAAGAGAGCAAGGGTAAGCCCTCGAAGAGGTAGGATAGCTATGAGAGAGATAGTTTGGGTAGGGGTGTGTAGAGAGAGATGCCCTCTCATGTGGAGAGAGCTTACAATTTATAGGCACAGAGTCATAGTTGAGACGGTGATGTGATGAGTAGGTGCCTAATCCTTCGGGAAGGATAAGTACAATTACGATATATACAATTAGAGATAATCTTCATTTAGACGTGGCTATCCCAGTAATTACTCCTCATGTACAATAATCCTCTTGAACTCCTTGAACTTTGGATTGGACCGAATTCATGAGCTGGGTTTGACTTGTCTTATAGCGAATTTGGGTTTATTTAATTAATTGGGTCTGACCCAGTTGGATTTGGGCTTATCAGTTACCTTCGATGCATGCTACACCCATTTCTTGACTATCTGTCCCAATAAAATCATCTCATTATATCAAAACAATATTGAATGTAGATAGACAACACTGGATATACACTTAATCCAATGGGATTTATGAAAAGTTTTTCATAACATACAAAAGAAAGGGAGAGAGAGAGAGAGAGAGAGAGAGAGAGAGAGAGATAATGTTTCAAGCCGCTTAATGCATATTTTCAGAGCCTGAAGGATTCAAACATTTGCAGAAGTTCCACTTTGTCCATTAGTCCTGGTAACTTCACCATTAGAAGAAGACCAAGAAGAAAGCCTGAATATCCCCCTTTAAGTTGTGCTATTCTGTTCTGTTTCATTTTTGCCTTGCTGGTTGATTCTTCCAGAGTTTGATCTCTTGTCTCTTGAAAAAGATAATTTTTCTCTTAGAAATTTTTATAATTGTGAGAATCTTGATTTATGTGGCTGTCCTTCTGGTTAATTTAACTCTAATTGAGATATTCAAATTAGATATTTGATCTGATTGTGATTAGCCTTCAATTTGGATGTTAATATTGGTTGATAGAAATTCGAACTATTGATGTTTCATCACAGAAACACCCTCTTTTAAGACAGTATAGGACTATATATATCTGAAAATCTGCAAACATTATAATGATAAGAGTCTCATGAAACAAGCAATTAGATATAGTTTTTCTCAACATTACATTACCCTCGTGAATTGATCCATTTATAATTGATGAGTTTCACTCGTATTCTTGATTTGGCGATAAATGATATCTAACCTGCCCTAAAGTTAAAAGGATCATTTAACAAATAACTATAATTAGATCAAATATAGTTAGATGAAGTGAAGATAGGGAGGGTTTGAAAGCTGTTTTTCCTTTCTTTTGATTGTTTTTTGAATAGTTTTTAGGCTAACAACCAAAGTTACTGATGTCATTTAGACTCCTCACAGTATTCAGCTTGAATGGTTCCTTGGATAAAGAAGAAGAAATGATTGAAGTTAAGGTGCTCTGAGAACAATAAAGATGCCCCATCCCAAAAAAAAAAAAGCAGGGGAGTTTGAGAAAATTACATAATAAATCAATTTTATATCCATTTTAACATATTACTTGGATGAATAAACACTTAAAATCATATCAAACTTAACATTGCATCAAAAAATGAATAGAAATAACTTAAACATCTCGATTTTCGTTGATAACATAGAATGGTTGAGCATGATTAATTAATTCAGAGTTGAATTTGTTCAAACTTTTCGATTGGAACTTTATTTGATTTAAGGTTTTGAGATCTTGACAAACTACTTCAAAACTATGATTAAGTTAGCAAGTATGGATGGTTGACAGGGCAAATTCTCAGAATTGATAATAATCAAGAAGTTTGTAACATAATGTCTGAATAACAATAATTGCATTGCAAAAATCTGGCAATAAACAAACCAATAAAGAATATTGAAGTGCACCTTATAGTCTTCGGATAATGACCCATCTGTGAGCTGCAAAACAGATAGAAAGTTAGAGGTCTCCCTTGGCATTCAGCCGGGGGGAAGGCATCTGATGCTCAAGTAAATATTTCGATCAATACATGAATAAAAAAAATATATAGTATTACAAATATTATCAAAAATGAGGTGCGTATTTGAGTATATAGTAGAGAGGTACGTGCTCTTACTGCTTGACAAAATTCCTTGTTGTTTCCTAATCTAAACATCACATTTTAGCATGTATAGTATATGAATGAAGGGGAGTGTCACTATCCTAGGGATGATGTCAAAAGAAAGGGCAACGGAATGGTGGATGAATGAGATGTCAAATGTGAATATGCGTGAACAAAAGTGCTCCCCAAGCGCAAGGAGACTTTTGCGGGTCGTGTTTTACTTGGTGGTACTCCAAGGTCGTTTCCACAGGGAAGGAAGTAAACCAAGGGGAAGGTGATTTTGGGAGAAAGAAAATGTAAAAAATTTGATTGTTGGAAGGTGTTTGGTGAAGTTGTTTTGATGCTAGTAAAATGAGAAACAAATGTTGGCAAATCCAAGAGGTCATTCCAATAGGAATACCGTCTCAACTCGAAACTCTTCTCCAATAGAGCATGAATGAACGATTGATTCATGGGAAGCTAGGAATAAAATTGGTGTGTATCTAAGCATAAACTGTGACTAGGCCTACGAAATATCAAAGACTCACCAAGTTATCCACCCTCAACCCTGTCAAACTGAACTATTGAACTCTGAAAGAGTGGAGGAGAATGAGTTGAAATGGTAAACCCAAGTGGAGGTTCCTCTTGGTTTGCCAACTAAGAGATTTAGCTATTCATGCTTAAAATAAAGACAATAATATGATGAGAAGACATTATGAAGAAAAAAGACTAGAGCTAAGCATAAACGAAATACATAAATATAACTTTCGGATAATCACCTCTTACTAAAGATTGGATGAGAAACTACTCACTCTTCATGGCTTTGTTAAAGCTAGAAAAGTGAGTGATGCTCATCCCTCTAAGTAGAGGAGTTACAAGGTAAAACACTTTACACAAGAAGCCGATCTTCGACAAAGAATGAGTGAATCATTCCACCCTTCACGGCTTTGGTAAAAACTCTAGAAAAGTGGAAGAGTTTCACTCCTCTAAGGGAAGAAGGAAGCTCAAGCAATGGAAATAAAAGAAAGCAATAACACAATAAAAGAAAGCAATATTTAAAGTAAAAGAAAGCAATAAATTAAAAGGAAGCAATAATACAATAAAAGAAAGCAATAATACTTTTGGACGATTTTCCACTAATAAAAGATGAATGTTTTACAAGTCCTAAGGGGTGGTATTTATAGGCAACAAGGGAGGGTGAAAGTCTTGTTAGGTGGCT